CATGTTAATTTTTTACCCGTTGATAATTATGTCAATTTAATAATTCCCTTTTACATCATAACTACTATAGGATTTTTTCATATAAGTCACGTAAACGGCAAACAGGTTTGCCACTACTCAAACGTAAAATAGTCGAATATATTTCTGGTAGTTCCACACATATATGAAGTATAAATCATTACACTGGAACCAGAGACTATATTGTTTCTGCTAACACTCCCTATGGTTTGTAGTACTTGTGGTAACATACTGTATATTCATGTGTAAATAATCAAGGCAGACTAGATTTTTCCATTGAACTTAAAGTTCTATTCAAGCTGGAGGACTGACAATATGAGATACAGAAATATATAATTTACACTGTCAAATAGAAGACTATCTATCATGTGCTAATCTCATATACGAGTATTGTAGGCATACCAAGTTATCGTTTCTCATGTATACCCATGTTTCCTTTGTTTATATCAACAAATGTCACCAGGAAATAAACATTCATTGACTAGCCCAATTACAAAAAATATCAACCACATTTTTCTACCAGTTTACTAAATGTCAGAAATATATTGGCCTCAAAGCTTTTACCCTACGGTGACAGATTTATTTCAATAAATTGTTTCGCTAAATATTCGAAGATCGATCATCATACCTGTTTGGTTTGGATGAATCAAAGAATTTATAGCCCAGTCATTGTTAACATGTTCTGGTCCAACAACATCATCGTCTTCAGATTCCATCTGCACTATTTTTAGAACGCTGAATAACTTCATATAAGCTTTGTCGATGTTATGTTAAAGCTTTAAATTTCCTATAAACATCTTTTTAGTTCAAAATTGTCTGAAAATTCTATTATGCAACTTGAAGCCACAATTACGGATTTCACAATGAGTTTGACGATGTATGATATTGCCTTTGTCTTCTATTCGCTGTATTTTCAAACTCTATGTTTTTTAAACAACTTTTAGCTAATCTACATATGGAGATAGTGTTGTGACTGAAGAGTAGGATGAATTATTTTTAGTTTTTTAGTCATTCGGCGGGGAAGTATTGTAATCAACTTTCATATTTCACTTGTCACTAATAACTAAAGATTTTTTGACTGAAGTTACAGCTGATTTTACATATGTCGAAATCAACCAATTTCGTTTTCTAAAGCTAAGAAACTAAAATAAACAAAGTTTATCCGAAATAACTAGCCTATAAGCCCAACACATAACTTTATTAGAATTAGCGTTACGTTTCTCGTAGATCTTTCATCTCTGACTATACTGTTTAACATAGCCAGTTTGTTTACATACTTAGCCCTGTTGAATTGAATGAAGCAGCAGTTGAATGGTTTACCCTCGATTTTTCTTCTAAATATTTTGAAAAATGCGGTATGAGGAGTATGACTTTGCCAACTCATCATAGAACTTACGAAATAATTCTTATTTCTATTCTGCCAGTATTTATGGACGTTTATGAGGTGTTTCACAATGCAGTGTTTGGATTGAGAAAAAGAAAGGATTCAGATGTGTAAACACACATCATGTAATTTTCGTAACATACCTGCTGTTCTTTTGGGGAAACACCTTAACGTTGCAAACCTATTATTTGACATACCTTCCTTAAAAACCTATCAGTCAGGATCTACTCACTTCAAAACCCTCAAAACAGTAAAAACGATTACACTAAATCAGATCTAATTTGACTCCACACATCATAATAACAAAAAGAATACACAATAACATTAATTAACATATTTTGTAAGAAGATGCTAAGCCTTATGCTATGTTTGGAGGTTCACATATAATTTTCATCGTCACAGCCATCTTAGGATCGCCGTAATTCTTTCAGAGGTAAGAAAAATTGCGTCAAGTACATTCACTCTATCATCAGTACATAAAGGATTGCAAGTTAGTTCGTCTGACAGACAGTTGGCTACGAACATGTATAACAAAATCCAGTCAGTCAAACAGGCCCATGCAATTGGTCTATAGTCCTCACCTATCCGACAAAGTGTCGTCCAGAAATTCCTCCTTCCTGCCCAAGTAACACAGGTTGGACATTGTTTTTATATTAGATCATAATTATCGCTTTTGGGCTAAATTAGATCAATATGTTATTTTGTGATATATATATATTGCAGAATATACGCTAAAATGTCATTACGCTACACAGTCGGACTTAGTTATTTTCCGTAATTCACAAAAGCCAAGATGCTTGGTTTTGGTGTGAGACTATTTAACTATTATTATCACTTACTCTTATTTCGCATACAATAAAGTGAAATTTTAATATACAGGGTGGTCCATAAGTCCTTTGAAATTTCAAATTTGAATAACATTTAACGGGTGAGCGTGAGCGGCGCGGGCGAGGTGGGGGCAGTATCTTCAGTGTCTGGGAATTCAGTCGCCATGGAGTGTTTCACTGGAGCGGATCGTGCTTTTTGTGTGCGCGCGTTTTATCAAAATAATGATTCGGCAACCATTGCGCGGCGTAAATATCGAGAATACCACAATTTACACAATTTTACAAAGTGTCCAACAGCTCAAACGATTAAGAACTGGGTTGCTAAGTTCGAAGAGACTGGTTCGACGTTAGATAAACAGCGGTGGGGTCGACCAAGGACAACTCGTATTGAAGAAAACATCAACATTGCGGCACAGTCTGTTCGTCAAAATCCTACCCAGTCTACTCGTAAGCGTTCCAGTGCACTAAACGTACCCAGAACATCTTTACAGCGGATTTTAAGGAAAGATTTACGTCTGCACGCTTACAAAATTCAGTTAGTGCAGGAATTAAAAGATAATGACGCTATTCAGAGACTAAACTTTACAAATGAAATGTTGAATCGATTTTCTTCGCTCAATAATGTGTTGTTCTCGGACGAGGCTCACTTCCATTTAAACGGGCATGTAAATAAACAAAATTGCCGTTATTGGAGCCCCGAAAATTCAAGGCGTAAGCATCAGAAGCCCTTACACAGCCCTAAAGTTACAGTTTGGGCTGCTATGTCAGCGCATGGCATCGTAGGCCCTTATTTTTTTGAGGATGACAGAGGTCGCGCATTAACTGTTACTTCGGAGCGGTATGTAGTAATGATAGAAGAGTTTTTGACACCAGCGTTGCAGAATTTTCCAGGCTATAATACGCAGACCTGGTTTCAACAGGACGGAGCAACTACCCACACCTCCAACACTTCTATGCCCGTCGTCTGTCAACTTTTTCCCAGCAAAGTAATTTCTCGAAGAGGAGACATTTCCTGGCCACCACGTAGTCCAGATTTGACCCCAATGGACTTCTTTTTATGGGGCTACCTCAAGAGTAAAGTGTACGACACCACTCCGCGATCAGTTGATGTCCTGAAAGAAAATATCCGAAGAGAAATGGCAAGCATTACAGTGTTGACTTGCCGCGCAGTCATCGACAATTTTAGACGTCGTTTATATGAGTGCCGTGATCGTAATGGATTGCATTTAGACGATGTGATTTTTAAAACATAATTCCCATTCAATAAAGATGATAACAAAATATAATAATTCTTCATAATGTAACTAGTTTGGTTTTATTCCTTTTTTTCCAGCTCAAAGGACTTATGGGCCACCCTGTATTATATGTGATATTCAGCCAGACAATGGGGTCCTACAATATTTTTCTAATTAGTAGCGGCAATATACAAAGTATGTCTTGCAACCAATATTGAGTCAATAAGGCATATATGTACCTACTGGTTTATTACTGAAAATCAACGTTGAACCCATATTTTTGTCATTGATTGGCAAAATATGCAATATATGACATACAACCAATATTGCAAATTAATGTTATGCCAATATAAAAAGATGTATTGCTTTAATAGTGTAAATAAACATTGAAATATTGTCATAATTGAGTGGGGGTAATATACAAATTGTCATGCAACCAATATTGAATTGTAATATCGAACCAATAAGAAAGGCCATGAGGAATTTTAAGTATCTCCCGGTCACATGTTGCTTGATACTCTTCGAAGTTGGATTCCAAAATACAAGGCGATTAATTTTTCCCCAATTTGTAACATTTAAGGCTGTCCACGTCTTCTACTGTGCTCACCTCGAGGTTCCTACAAATGTTTTGTGTACGGAATAAACAAAGCTACGCACCGCGGGATAAAAAACTCCAAGGAAAAATAACAATAGAGACTTGGTAAGCATCAACAGCACTTTAAAAACACTTACTGTAAATTAATTTTAAATCGGGAAGTCCGTTACTGTCATTTTTGGTTATTTTAAATCCGGTTTGTAAACAAACAGATCGGTTCACCTACACCGCAAGCGATATCTGCTGGATACTGACAACATGTATTTTTTAATGGATAACTTTGTTATCTTAAGTATTTGTACATATGTTACAAGGAACATTCTTTATTTTCACAAGAACTATATGCCGTGGAACAAACCAGCGTTTATATGAATCATTATCGAAATTTACTAATTATTTATTATATTCATTTATTTTTATTTCCTTACAAACATCATTTTCGGTAATTACAAACAAGGAATTTAACTAACTAGTATATTCAAATCTCATTCACTCGCCGTCAAACCAAAACACCAGAATGCAACGTTTAAATCCCTGTGCTCTCATTCGACAAGTGTCTAAGCAGTTAACGACAAGCGAACAGAAGCGGCGACCTAGCACCCATGTCTGTCCCAACGTGGAGTAAATGAGTTCTGAAAAGACCTTACCTAAAACACTAAAAATATACTATCAAATAAATTGCAACATGAATTACAGATAAGGAAGTTGTTAAACTAGCTATTATCAAATATCATAGGATAGGTACTACATTCAATAGAGTATATTTTATTTCCAAGACAGTTATTTGAAAAAATACAAACTTCCAACTGACAAAACTTGATTGCAACCTTGCAAAATCCTGTATGAATATCAACAAAAGGTGACATAAATGTGGAAGACCCAGATGACACACCGACAAAAAAAATCAAATTATGGATTAAAACGACTCATTTCTTTTCTAGAGAAATTCGTGGAGACGACCTCCCCAGCCGGAGCAACAACTCTCCCCTCCACCACGACAGTGTCCTCTCCCTCGACCCCGGATCCAGACGGTGCGTCTTCAGGAGGTCGCGACTCCCCGGTCGACGTTTCGTCAACTTCGGAACCACCTTCAAGTTCCTCGGCAGGCAGCAGATCGCCAGGTAGTACCAGCAGGAACCCGTTGCTACAGGAACGGTGTAACAGCGAGGAGCTACGGAATGTCGTCTGTCACTTGGAGACCAAGGAGTTGTGGGATAAGTTTAATGATTTGGGGACGGAGATGATTATCACGAAAACCGGACGGTAAGTACTTGCTTAACATTCCATTTTTTTGATTTTTTCCTTCAAGATGGATCTCACTCAGGTTTCACATGCTCGACAATCACAGAGAATATGCTCTGGGTTCTATATAGGAAAAAGTGCAATTGGCCAAGACCACAGCACTAAGGGTCATTGTACCACTTGTACATCTTCTTCTCGGGCCTCTAGGGGCTGGATTAATAACTACCCCAAACTGTTGAAAATGGTGATGTGACCCAGCGGAGCTTCCCTTACACTACCCAACGTCCCCCCAGAATAGATTCTCGGATTGGTAGAACAGCTGGGCAATCGTAAAACAGATTACTAACTATCTCATCTTCCTATTCGCATCCTGTATCACTCATTCTCATGCTATAGAGATCATTCCTTTTCTGACATGTCCATTTTCAATACCAGTGATAACGCGAAGTAGTTTTCTGGACATGGACAGTTAGTTTTCTGCTACTTCCTGACTAGAACGTCTTGAAAATTTTGTGGGTGTGGTCAGAACTCTGGTTTCAGCAGCCCTCTTGCCTGTCTATGAGCTACAATATGACCTTTGGATAGTGAGTGACCCTTCACCCAGGCAAGAGTTATGTTCTTACTCGCGCAGGCACCCAGAAGAGTCACATGGCAGTCTAGTGCTGTCATCGTTGTAAGCTTGCAACACTTAAAAGTAAGTATGGCTTGTCTGCTATGCACCATATAAACGCTTGGCGACCTACTGCGTACACATAGCTACTGTCCACTAGGAAAGAATCTCTGTGACTATGACTGGCATATCCTTATGTAGGGCATGCGAACAGGAATATGGGACAGTTAGGCCTTCTAACCTATCAATCCCTGAATCATTTCTAGGAGAGCATTTGCGATCTATGACTAAAGTAACGGTATGAATGAATAAAGCGCATAGGCCGCATAAACGGGCCCTTATGCATCACTACATTCCCTAAGTCTCAAGCTCCGTCCTTCTAGCAGAATTGATTATCGCCCTGATCCCCAGCTCCTTAACGTTCTGGGGATCCAAACTGTTGGACTCCAGTATAGTCTGCCTGTAGTAACTCAGAGCCTGACAGCGACACAAAACATGCGTTGAGAACTCCTTCTCTACCCCGCAGAGGTCAAACATGTAATCCTCAGCCATCCCCATCACATGCAGGTGACGCCTCATCATGTTATGGCTAGACAACAGTCCCACCAACAACTTAAGGTTGGCTCTATCCAAATACAAGCAAAAGTATCCATAACACTAGACCCAACGATGAGCTCCTGTGCCCGTACGGAGATGGCTAGAGATGCTTCTCGATTCCAGAAAGTGTTGTCTAGCAATCCACTTCTCCATTTATTGAGTTTGGCCTTCAGTTGGCTCGGTTCCAATGCATGGACTCCAAACCAAGGAGCCATACGAAAGAGATGGACGTACTATCGTCGTATAGAGCCAATGTACCAATTTGGGCTTAAGCCCTTACCTCACTTCGTCTGTAATCCTACAATGAATTGCGAGCGTTGCTTACACTCAACATGCTCTTTTCAATTTATTCTACAGTCCAAGTCAATTCTTAGATTTTTTTTCTAATTAGGATAGAACTAATCTAGTCCCAAAGTGAGGGTAGTTACCCTAAGTATTTCAATGACACCTGAGTGCTGTCAACCTTCTAACATATTGATTACACTGATGACTTGATTGAATATGACAGAATCAGCAAGAGAGAAACTATAACCAGAATAATGGGAATTTTAGGATTGTTTTTGAATATAACGATAACCATAACGATGGCGATGACGTTAATGATTAAGATGACAATGTTGATCTTAATAGTGATGATGATAATGATGAAGATAGTGTTATTAAAGCTCGTGTGCCGTCTATTTTCGTTGAAAGTTGTATATTTTTGGGCTTGTGCATTGACAACCTTGTTCTTTTATTTCTGAGATCACAGGAAACGAAGAATATTTATGTCGCTGCTCCAATATCTCAGGTAACAGTAACATTGTTATATATATATATAGTATATATTTTTGTAGAGTGATTATATACCTGTTATTGCCCTGATTGGTAGTAAACTTTATACTGTTCCACATATTTTGCAAAATGATATAATCTAGCAAGCTTTTAATTATATGTGTTTCAAACGTGTTGGTAACGATTGCACAGACCATAAGTAATCACGAAATTATATCCCCGTGAGTGTGTGTGCTCCGCTTGGTAGAGTATATGTGAATTTTATGCTTTTTCGTATTGCACCTTTCTCGCAGGCATTCCTAGCTAATTAGCAGGGATTATAAAAAATCCCTGGACGCAGTATCACGATGATATTAAGACCTTCTTTCCCACGTACATGTGGAGCAATGATCACGAGGAAGTCGGCTACAGCGCCTGTGCCGATTATGAACTGTTAGCGCAACCATCGACATTATCAACACACAGTAGAATTGTGAAACGTGCATAAAAAACGATGTCTAAGGGTCGACTTCACTAACATTAAAATCTAACGGGGTCCTCGACCAATTAGAGAACACCTCTCCTAATATCAGTAATTCCTATTGAAATATTGAATAAAATGGTGAACCAGCTGTTGTTTTATTAATAAGGGTACATTCTAGATGTAATACCATGTCTTTGAGCTTTAGAACTAGGATAACTTTTATAGGATTGCCAATTTCTATCATTTCATAAAAGATGAGAAATTTCTTGAATTGACCAATGAAAATGCAAGAAATAATATGTCGATTTTCTAGCTTTTATATTTAATATGATGTTTTCACTGTTTTTGACGACTATCCATGCATAGCAATCCAGTTTGGTCTCTATATCACAAAGAGGGCGTTGTACATAATGACTTATCTGTAGAAATATACAGACTTTTATTTTACAAAAAAGGATTTGAGACGTACTGCAACTGGTTCATCATCTTTTGTTATATCAAGAACAATTTGTTACCAATTTATGATCTAGAAATCCACTCCAAATGTAAACAAACAGCACATTCTGCACTTCTGGGTCCGAAAACATCGATATTTGTAAATGTATTCCCTTCCACCTATTAATAATAATAATAGTCCTCCTCATTTGGAAATACACTAACTGATTGGCGAAGTTTGGCATTCGCTACTCTTACGCTTATTCATCGTCTAGATATTATATGTCAGAATCAAAAATAGCAATTTTTTGCTTATTATTATTATTGTTATTATTATTATTTACCAAAATAGTTGCAAAACTTATTGTCATCTTTCCTTTGTATTTGATTTGGAAGACGTCTGGAATCTAAATTGACTGAATTTATGTAATTTCTTAATATTCAATAAGCTGGTGATGTTTCAATGACCAGCTGTCTCCTCATACTTTGACAATATTTTGTTTCCAATATTGATTACCAAAATTTGTTGAATTGATCTTAAAGCTCATTCGCTATATTTGACGGGCTGTTACCTTATAGGTGGAAAATAACGGCTTGTTGATTTGACAATCCTAATTGAATTCAACCTTAATTTACTTGAAATATGATTAAAAACGATCTGACGCTCTAAAATGTTTGCGTCTCTACTTATGTCTATTCTCCATAGGCACATCTGAAACTTGATTGGAGACGCTAAGATGCGAAGATTAAACAAGAACATGCACCCGTTTCATATGTATTCTAATATAATAGATAAATAGACAGATTGAAAAAGTCATGTTTAGAGAAAGTCTTCATTCTGTCAATGTTCGTTCGAAACAGAATATTTCTGCTCCATTCCATCGAACATGTTTTTTCGAACGTGGATTCTCTTACAACATCTATAAATTATACAACTCCATCCCCCAGCAAATCAAAAATATGAAAGGTTGCAAATTCAAGGCAGCTCTGAGACGATTCCTTTTAGATAAGTATAATTAACTTCACTGATAATACTGTAACATTTAGCTTTTTTGGATGAATCTCATGATTATATGATGGAATATTTTCAGTTTTATATTTTCAGTGTTATTTGTTTTTTTTGTTTTTTTTGTACTCATGCTTTTTTTTCTGCTCTCATATAGTTAGTAGTAGGCATGTAACAGTTGATATCACTATTTTAAAATAGAGCAAGGGATGAGTGGAAGAGCACGCAGGTCGTGAACTCCCCCTTGAGATTCGAGAGCAATTATTCCTATTTGTTGAACATTATTTTTGTATGCATTGCCTCTTCGAATAAAGCCATTTATTATTATTATTATTATTATTATATTTATTTCATCTGTTCGTGTACAAAGTAGAAGATAAACATGTCATGGAAGACTTATAATTTAACAAATGTGGCGTTTATATAAAACGATCACAGAAAAAACGCATATGTACAGGTAACAACGTAGAAATAAAATAGAAATTCGGCAGTCCGCATACGTCCCTGGCTAAAATTTTGAACTAAAATGTTTACTTATGGAATACAATGTTCAGTTATAACTTCTTTAAAATATGTTTAAACTGAACTGTGTTGACTTGATAAATACTTGTAGGCTGATAATTATACAGATCTAAACGTGGCAAATTATGTTTTAATATCGATAGTAAGAATTTGTGAAGTACGTCTCTATATTTTTATGAATATTCGTATGTATTAAAGTGACATATGTAAATAATGTTGGAACACACATTATTTTTAAAGTGATCTCTACATCTCTACAAGATTCGTAATCTAAACCGATCATGGTTCTAATGACCGTCTTCTGGATAATGAGTAGTTTGTTTATTTTACTAGAATTGCCCCATAATGTTATACCATTACTAAGCTGTGAATGAAATAGCTCAAAGTAGCAACTTTAATACCTGTAGGTTGACCTGTGATTTCAATTTCCGCAAAAGAAAAAGGAATTTGCTTAATTTTACAGCAAGTGAGTCAATGTGATAAGTCCAACTTAATAAGTGACCTAAGCGCCAATTTCACCAACATTAATATTTGACGGTCAGTGGGACCAGGAAAAGACCTTATCGAAATGCAATTTGACGGATGCTGTCAAAGGTCTCTGAATATCAGTGATTTCTA